GTAGCAATTGTGAATGGTAGTTTGCTCATGATTTGGCTCTCTGTTTGTCTGTTGTTGTATAGGAATGCTTGTGATTTTTGCACATTAATTTTGTATTCTGAGGTTTTGTTGAAGTTGCTTATCAGCTTAAGGAGACTTTGGTCTGAGGCAATGGGGTTTTCTAAATATACAATCATGTCATCTGTAAACAGAGACAATTTGACTTCCTCTTTTCCCAGTTGAATACTCTTTATTTCTTTTTCTTGCCTGATTGCCCTGGATGATAGACTGGATAAAGAAAATGTGGCACATATATACCATGGAATATTATGCAGCCATAAAAAGGATGAGTTCATTTCCTTTGCAAAGACATGGATGAAGTTGAAAACCATCATTATCAGCAAAGTAACACAAGAACAGAAAATCAAACACCACAAGTCCTCACTCATAAGTGGGAGTTGACATGGACACAGGAAAGGGAACATCACACATGGGGGCCTGTTGGGGGTCAGGGGGCTAGGGGTAGCATTAAAAGAAATAGTTAATGTAGATAACGCATTGATGGGTGCAGCAAGCCACCATGGCACCCGTATACCTATATAACAAACCTGCACACTCTGCAAATGTACCCCAAAGCTTAAAGTATAAAAAATATAAAAAAGAATGAATGTTGTTGAGGCTGCAGGAAAAAAAATGCTTATACATTCTTAGTAAGAATGCAAATAGGTTTAACCACTGTAGAAAGTAGTTTGCAGATTTTTCAAAGAGTTCAAAAACAGAACTACCATTTGACCCAGGAATCCTATTACCAGGTATATAACCAAGGAAAAAGAAATTATTCTACAAAAAAAACATGCACTTATATATTCGTTGCAGCCCTCTTCACAATAGCAAAGACATGAACTCATCCTAGGTGCCTATCACCAGTGGATAGGATAAAATGTGGTACATCTATATCATGGAATACTATGCAGCCATAAAAACTGAATGAAATTATGTCCTTTGCAGCAACGTGGATGCAGATGGAGACCATTAGCCTAAGCAAATTAACCCAGGAACAAACAAACCAAATCCTAAATGTCCTCACTTATAAGTGGGACCTAAACATTGTGTACTCATGGATATAAAGACAGGAATAGCAGATACTGGGGACTACAAGTGCAATGAAAAAAGGAGGGAGTCAAGGGTTAAGAAACTCCCAATTAGGTACAACACTCACTACCTGAGTAACAGGTTCAATCATACCCCAATCTTCAGCATAATGCAATATACCCTTGTAACACACCTATACATGTACCTTATGAATCTAAAATGCAAGTTAAAATTTAAATAATAATAATAAATGATAGCCTTTATTTCACAGCCCATTTTTATTTAATATTCCATATTTGGGATATTTCCTATCCAAAATTCACTTTAAAGAGATCTCATTTACTTTATATATCCCAAATTTACTTTAAGAAGATCATTAGATACACTTGAGGAATCCATTTCTTCAACTACAGAAATTTCCAGAAACCCCAATTGGTATGAGAATACTAGTTGACATCCTGCTTTGCCATTTCTTCATTGGTTATCTACATACTTGTTAATTACCTCATCTGAACTTTTGTTTCCTTAATTGTAAAATGAAGATAATGATTCCTCATTGGGTTGTTGTGAAAAGTCAGCAGAAATAGCTTAAACAAAGTGTTTAGCACTGTGAGGATACTTTATGTCAATAAATGTTAATTTTATTTGCCCTTATATATATCAAAAAGCAAAAGCAAACTTCTGTAAAATCTTCCCATAACTAATTTAGCCATGGCTTTTTGGATCTCTTTGATTTTCCATAGCAGTTGGCACAGAATTCTTATGTAAAGTTTTCATATATATATCTGTGTAAGGTTATGATTTCCTGGAAGACCAATTGAAGGCATCAGGATTCTGGGAAAACTAGGAAAATCTATAGTAACAACATTGTTAATATTTATTAATTAGTCAAATAGGACTTTCAAAAGTTTATAAATCTGAATAAATAGGTAAACTAGGAAAGCGAAAATGAATTTAGTCTGAATTACCTTCATTACAGCCATGCATTGCATACTGATGTTTCATTCAACAGACCACATGTATGATGGTGGTCCCATAAGATTATAACACCATATTTAACTGTACCTTTTTTATGTTTAGAATATTTAGATACACAAATATTTATCATTGTGCTACAATTGCCTACTGTATTCAGTGCAGTAACATGTTGTACAAGTTTCCAGCCTAGGAGAAATAGGCTATAATATATAGCCTCAATATGTAGTAGGCTATGCCATCTAGTTTGTGTGAGTGAACTACACCGTATAGGATGTACACAGAAAGATGAAATCACCTAAGGATACATTTCTCATAATATATCCCTATGATTAATCAATACATGACTGGCATGGCCATAAAGGGGAAAAAAGGACATGAATTGTTGTCACCAAGGTCTCCAAAGGCTTGCAAAATCTTGGTTGTTGGCAATGTACAAACAGCAAAATGATCACTTTTGACACAATGTAGTCAGAGGAGATTTGGTAAATGGAAGTGTTTATTCCCTTGAGTGCAAATGGATCTCACTGGGAGGCAACCTGCACATTTAGAGACTGGCTCTCTGTGGCCTCAGATGCTGTGCCAATTCCTGTTTAAGAGCAAGCAGGGGCAGGAGGCCTTTACAAACCAAATGTGCCAAGTATTTTTATTTCTTTTGGGATTGGGCACTTATTACAGCTTCTACAGGAGCAACAAATGGTGAAACTTGTGCATTTCCATGACTCTTGATTATTTCCAGGTTTATTCGGCTGAGTTTCTCTTACGTCTCTGATCAGTGGGAAGGCTTCCCTGGTCTGTAATCTTTGCTAACAGAGCCCTGTCAATTGAGAAATATTCTCTATGTCCATTCAAAAAGAGCTCCTGCTCCATAGCAGTGTATTGCTAAAGTCATTTGATTAGAGTGACAATATGACTTTTCTCAATATGTACTGCACTGTTTTATTACAAAGCCAGATGTCTTCTTTTAATATTTTAAACAAAAACAAGAAATGAATGCCATTTATTACCATGAGTTATTTACTGTCCTGATGTTGTTCAGATGGACCATTTGTTATTTTGAGAAGTAAGGAATTTCCTTGCGTTTTTTTTTCTAAGCTATTTCATTCTTGGCAAGTGAACAACAACAACAACAACAAACAAACAAACAACGACAACAACAAAACACCTAATGTGTGCTTGGGTGAAATAGCCAGCTGCAGCTTTTCCGTTCAGTGACAAATATTTCTATTTAATATTAAGGCTTAATGTTTTATAATTATTATAAGTACATGAAAACAAACTAAAAAGAGCACTGCATGTCACATCCGTTTCATTATTTCTCAGTAATAATGCTTAATGTCCAAAGATGTTTTGGTATCTCTTCTAATTGAGTGTGGAAAATAAACTGTCCTTTGGTATTAAAAGAATTGAAATAAATAATTCTTTGAGAATTTTCAAACTGATTTTTCAAAGATCAAATAAATTGAGAAGATGATTTATCTGGCTACAGAAAACAGCATGTCCCCCAGTGAAATACGTCATTCTTACTAATACTACAATATCATTAATAGTCCATGGAGACCTAGCATTCTGACACAGAGAAAGAAACATTAATTTTAAATTCTCATTAATCAAATATATTTCATCAAATCAGATCATATTATTAGGTAAGTAAGTACTTATTGACAAGGCTTTATAGACAGGAAAGACAGACTCCACTTTCAGTAATATTAGCCATGATTAATGTGTTTTTCTCATCTACAAAATGTAAGTAGCAACAACCACTTTATGCTTGGGACACAATAGGAGATTTATAAATGTTAATTTGATTTATCCTTCTTCCCTGATGTCTATAAGTTACCTTTGAAGCCAAGAGGTATGAAACATGACACACCTCTTTAATGTCCATCTTTTGTGAGACTACAATAATAAATCACAGTATAAAATATAAACAAAATATAATGTGACACAACACTATTGTTTATCAATAAATGGCATAATCAATAAAATCTAACAAGGTGCCAAGGTTTAAGGCTGGTGTTAAGCACAATGTGAGCACTCACTAACTACTCAATATTTAGAGAAAGCCAAATTTAGAGACTAAGAGAGTTTAGACAAAATAAGAAAATATGATACGAAATGAAGCCCTAGGAGTTTAGAGGAGAGACTCCTAATGTAGCTGAGGATAGTCATAGAAGTTTTCTGCCTTGATAACTTGAATGTCATTTACCAAAATAGGTAACAGTTTAACACCACCTGCAAGCAAGCAAAATGTCACTCATCTTAATTAAATTCATAGTGAAAATTATGCCAGGTATTAGATAAAAACAACCACAGCAGGCTAAATTTTATTGATTGGTGTGTGTGTGTGTGTGTGTGCGTGTGTGTGTGTAAAATTATAGGTTTGAAAAGGAAAAGCATTTTTTTCTGGAAATGTTGTATCCTTTCAGACTAGTTCTCCTATCTTTATGTCTTGGCTCTACTCTTTGCAGTCTTTTTTGTTTCATGTTCTAGATGATTTGCTCAAGTTTGCCTGTAATGCTTCTACTGACTATTTCATTCCAACTGCTGTGTTGTTAAACTTTACTATCTTTTCTTCTTTCCTTCCTAAGTTTTTCCTCCCCACCCCATCTCTCCCTTTCTCCATTTTTTAATTTTCCTGAAGCTCCCTCATTAGAGTAAGTATGCTTGATGCACAGAATCAACATCTTGGATCCCTGAGGTCAGTTTATGTATTTATTTTCCTTTGGAGCTCTCTTCTACATGGAGATTGTTTCCTCTCTATTTTCTATCTGTCTCTATGATGGTTTGGTTATTTAACTCTGCCTCTATCTTTCACATTAGAGTCTTAATTCACAATGAAGAGTTTATTGGAAGCTCTGATAATTTTCAGACCTGCTAATAAATTGGGTATCTATATAATTTATGATGCAAACTGGACTATTTTGAGAGTAAAAAATGACTCTATTAATTACCACAATAAGTCAGTAGATGCAAGTCAGGACCGCCAGCAATCAAGGTCACGTGGTGATCAAGAAAGTCCATTTATAAGATAACCTTTTTGTCAGAAGCTTTAGGTCTTTTATCTTGTACTCATCCAGTATTCCAGAGTGTTTTTCTAATTTTCTTGTAATATGAAGTTTCTACTGGCAACATTCTAGAAGCTGAGGGGAATCAGAAGGCTGGGGGTGATAGTCTTACCTTCAGTTTAGTGACTTCAGGTCACTTATACTCTGTCCCTCATTTTTTTCTAAGAAACTCTTTCCTACCTGTTTCTCAAACAGATTTTACTCCGTCATCCTTATTTCAATCCCACTTCCCCTTTACTTCTCAATTTAAAACTACATGAGTTTTACGAATCCCAATGATTCTGTTGGTGAAAATTGAGTTGTTTCTTACCTTTCCTCACTTCAGGTTTGATCTAGACTTTCTCAGATCAAGGTTGGTTTTGTTGTTTATGATATTTCTCCAAATCTTATATATCTGTAAAATCTACATTTAATTTTCATGCCACTAAGGGTAGAAAACCCTACCATTTAACACATGACATACCATCAATTGTAAAGTGCATTTCAAATTTCAGAGATATTAAAATGTAAATGTTTTGAAATGTGTAATTCAGAACCAATAAAATATGACACTATTCTGACACCAATCCCAACTATGTACACTGTGATTCAATTCTAACATTACCACATGGAATTGGTACAGAGCCCATAAATTAAAGAACATGGTTCACAACAAGATTGCCCTCACTCCACAAGCTAGCCACAAGTTCAAGAGGTCTCCAGGATATACATGATTCTGACCAACTGGAGACAGAATGTACATTCTATTCATCAGCACATGGAACATTCTCAAAGATAGACCATATGATAAGCCATAAAACAAGTGTCAATACATTTACGAATATTTATTCAAGAAAATTATATCAAGAACTCTATCAGACCACAAAGGAATAAAATTGGAAATCAACTACAAGGGAACCCTCAAAACCATGCAAATACATGGAAATTAAATAACCTGCTCTTGAATGATCATTGGGTAACAATGAAATCAAGATGGATATTTAAAAATTATTTTAACTGAATGATAATAATGACACAAACTATCAAAACCTCTAGGATACAGCAACGCAATGCCAAGAGGAATGTTTATAGCATCAAATGCCTGCATCAAAAAATCCAAAATAGCAAAAATAGATAATATAAGGTAATTATATCAAATATTCATTTAGGACAGAGCAGAGTAAAATTGGAAATTGACTCCAAAAGGAACCCTCAAAACTATACATGGAAATTAAATAATCTTTGGGTCAACAATAAAATCAGGATGTAAATTAAAAAATTTTTTGAACTGAATGATAATAGTGACACACTTATATGAAAACCTCTGAGAGACAGCAAAATCAGTGCTTAGAGGAAAGTTTATAGCATTAAATGCCTACATCAAAAAGTCTGAACGAGCACAAATACACACTCTAAGGCCATACATCAAACAACAAAAGAAACCAGAGCAATCTAACCCAACCCCAGCAGAAGAAAAGAAATAATGAATATCAGAGCAGAACTAAATGGAAGTGAAATAAACAAAAACTAGAAAAGCTAAATGAAACAAAAAGCTGGTTCTTTGAAAAGATTTAAAAAAATTGATAGACCGTTAGCCAATTAACCAAGAAGAGATAACATTCAAATAAGCTTGATTAGAAACAAAACAGGAAATATTACAACTGATACCACATAAATATAAAAGATTTTTCAAGGTTATTATGAACACCTTTATGCACACACACTAAAAACATCTATAGGAGATGGACAAATTACGGAAATATGCAACCCTCATATATTAAATGAGGAAGAAATAGAAACTCTGAGCAGACCAATAATAAGTAGCAAAATTGAAAAGGTCGTTTTTGAAATGCCAATTAAAAAAAGTTCAGAACCAGATAGATTTACAGTTGAATTCTACCAGGTATTCAAAGAAGCATTGATAGCAATCTTAGTGAAACTATTCCAAAAGATAAAGAAAGAGGGAATTTTTCCTAAATTATTCTACAAAGCCAGTATCACCCTAATACTGAAATCAGAAAAGTAATAACAAAACAAGAAAACTACAGATCAATATTCCTGATGAACATAGATGCAAAAATCCTCAATGAAATACTAGCCAACCAAATACAGTCATATCAAAAAAATGTACCATGATCAAGTGGGTTTCATAACAGAGGTTCAGAGATGGTTAACATATGCAAGACAATTAATGTGATACACCACACAAACAAAACTAAAAACAAAAATCACATGATCATCTCACTATTGAGATGATCTCACTATTTTGGCTGATAAAGCATTTGCCAAAATTCAGCATCACCTTATGATTAAAACCCTCAACAAATAGGCAGAGAAGGGACATATCTCAAGGTAGTAAAAGCTGTCTATCACAAACACAGAACCAACATTACACTAAATGGGAAAAAGTTGAAAGCATTCCCTTTGAGATCTGGATCAAGACAAGAATGCCCATATTTACCACTTCTATTCAATATAGTATTGGAAATTCTAGCCAGAGTAATTAAGAGAAAGAAATGAAGGGCATTCAAATTGTTAAAGAGAAGTCAAACTGTTACGGTTCACCGAGTGATCACTGATATGATCTTATACCTAGAAAACCCTAAAAACTCATTCAAAAAGCTCCTAAATATGATAAATGCATTCAGTAAACTTTCCAGATACAAAAACTGTGTACACAAGTTAATAGCACTGTTATACACAAACTAGGACCAAACTGTGAATCAAATCAAGAACTCAAGCCCTTTTACAACCAAAGGGAAAAAAAAAGAAAAAGAAAAAGAAAAAATAAAAAAACAAACAAACAAAAAAGCCTTAGGACTGTAAGTTTACCTAAACAAAAAGATCCTTACAAGTAAAACTACAAAACACTGCTGAAAGAAATCATAAATGACACAAACACCTGGAAACACATCCCATGTTCATAATGGGTATAATCTATATTGTGAAAATGACCATACTGCCAAAAGCAATCTACATTAAAATGCCATTATCATTCTTCACAGAACCAGAGGAAACAATTCTAAAGTTCATATGGAACAACAACAACAAAAATTGTATAGCCAAAGCAAGACTATGAAAAAAAAAATCTGGAGGCATCACATTACCTTACCTCAAACTATACTACAAGACTATAGTTACCTAAACAGTCTGGTATTGGTATAAAAACTGGCATGTAGACTAATGGAACAGAATAAAGAATCCAGAAATAAAGCCAACTACTTATAGACAACTGATCTTTGAGAAAGGAAACATAAACATAAAGTTGGGAAAGAACACCCGATTCAACCACTGGTGCTGGGATAATTGACAAGCCACATGTAGAAGAATGAAGGTGGATTCTCATCTCTCACCAAATATAAAATCAATTCAAAATGGATCAAATACTTAAATCTAAGACCTGAAACCATAAAAATTCTGGAATATAACATCAGAAAAATTCTTCTAGACATTGGCTTATGCAAAGAGTTTATGACCAAGCATCCAAAAGCAAATGCAACAAAAACAAAAATTAATAGATGGGAACTAAACTAAAAAACTCTTGCACAGCAAACAAAATAATCAGCAGAGTAAACAAACAAAGCACAGAGTAGGAGAAAAATCTTCATTAGTTCTGCATACAACAAGGACTAATATCCAGAATCTACAAGGAACACAAACAAATCAGCAAGAAAAAAAACAATAATTCCATCAAAAATAATTGGATATGAATAGACAATTTTCAGAAGAAGATATACAAATGGCCACCGAACACATGAAAAAATGCTCAACATTACTAATTATCAGAGAAACACCAATCAAAAACACTATTATATACCACTTTACTCCTGCAAGAAGGGCCACAATTAAACACTCAAAACCAATAGACGTTGGTGTGAATGTGGTGAAAAGGGACCTCATTTACACTGCCGGTGAGAACATAAACTAATACAACCACTATGGAAAACAGTATGATTACTTAACGAACTAAAAGTAGAACTACCATTTGATCCATCAGTTCCACTACTGGGTATCTACACAGAGGAAAAGAAGTCATTATATAAAAATACACCTGGCCGGGCGAGGTGGCTCAAGCCTGTAATCCCAGCACATTGGGAGGCCCAAGTGGGTGGATCACGAGGTCAAGAGATGAGACCATCCTGGTCAACATGGTGAAACCTCGTCTCTACTAAAAATACAAAAAATTAGCTGGTCATGGTGGTGCGTGCCTGTAATCCCAGGTACTCAGGAGGCTGAGGCGGGAGAATTGCCTGAACCCAGGAGGCGGAGGTTGCGGTGAGCCGAGATCGCGCCATTGCACTCCAGCCTGGGTAACAAGAGCGAAACTCCGTTTCAAAAAAAAAAAAAATACACCTGCGCATGCATGTTTATAGCAGCACAATTCACAACTGCAAAAATATGGAACCAGCATGAATGCCCATTGACCAATGAGTGGAAATATATATATATATGTATATTTCATTATATATATATAATGAAATACTTAGCCATAAAAGAATGAAATAATGGCATTTGCAGCTAACTGGTTGGAGTTTTAAATCATTATTCTAAGAGAATTAACTCAGGAATGGAAAACCAAGCATCATATATTCTCACATGTAAGTGAGAGCTAAGCTATTAGGTCTCAAAGTCTTAAGAATGATACCATGGCCTTTGTGGACTTGGGAGGAAATGTGGTAGAGAGGTGAGGATAAAAGACTACTTATTGGATACAGTGTATGCTGCTCAGGTCGTGGGCCCACCAAAACTCAGAAATCACAAATAAAGAACTATTCCATTAAACCAAACACCACCTATTCCCCCAAAACTAATGAAATCATAAATAGATTTTGAAAATAAAAATAATAAATAAATAAGAAAAAATAAAGGAATGGAGAAAAATTTACCAAGCAAATGTAAAACAGAAAAATTCAGTGATTGCAATCCTAGTTTCTGATAAAACAGACTTTAAACCAACAAAAAGCAAAAAAGACAAAGAAGGGCGTTACCTAATGGC